CGAAGGTGAATCCCTCTATATTCTTTGCGTGTTTGTTTCTCTGCATGGCCCGTGGGTTAGGTGATATTGCAGCGCAGGGACGCACTGGCCGTTGATGATTGATTGACTGGGGTTCATTGAGGTCTATTAGCCTTATAGGCATGTGTGCTTTTTTTTTTTTTAATTTTTTCTTTGCTGGGTTCTGTGCTCCACCCCTCGCTTATATACTTTTGTTTCCCTTCTGCAGCATTGGTTGTTCCCGTGCACCTGTGTGGTGTGCTGCTGTGATGGTGGACTGTTGTGCCTGCACCTGCGAGTGTGCGCAGCCATCTGCAGAAGAATTGAAATATACTGTTCCCCTCTATTGTGTGTGCTTGTTTTTTTTTATTGTAATTGAATTCACTGTGTAGTTTTTTTTGTTTTTTCTCCCCTTCCCTCACTGTAACTATATTGTTGGGCATTTGACTGCATACTCATTTGTGCCAAATGTACTTATTGGGTGATGCAGACTCCTAAAAAGGGAGTGAAATAATTTATTGTTCTTTTCTTTATATATGTATATATACACGGGTTTTAATTGTATTGTGGTTTGGTAAGAGACACATCTGTCTGACTGTGGAGTGCAGTCACATGGGTGTGGTTTGTTCTTCACCTGATGGGAATATTTCTTCTTGTTTTCTTTTCCCTTATTCTTCTTTGTGCTTTATGTACTGCGCTGCTTTTCCTGTGTGTCTGTGTATAGATGTTGTGTTTGCACTCCTCTTTGTGTTCTTTGTTTCTTTTTCTCTTCTTCCTTGTTACCACAGAGCCAAGCAACCCACAGTGACAATCATGACAACGATGTTCGTCCAACTGTACCGCGTGGTGTACCTGTTGGTACTTCTGCAGTGCTGTGTGTGTGTGGCATATGCGGATAATGGTGCGGCGTCCCAAGATTTTGAGGAAAAGAATATTTTACAGAAATTGAATGAATTGAAAGCTAAGATGGAGAAGGAGAACAATGATGTGAAGATTATCCTTGCGTCAGTAAACACCGTACAGGAAGAATGGAGAGAAGCGTCAAACCGTGCAAAGAATGCAGCAAATAAGGCCAATGAACTTGGACAGCTTGTTTCGGATGTTACAAGCCGTGCTTTGCGTCTATCTGAAAATGTGAATGAGATAAAGAGTGAATTGAAAGAGGCGGTAAAGAAGGCAGTAAGTGCAGAAAGAGAGATCACTGATGCCGCTGCCAACGCAAATTTGATA